TCTGTAAATCTTCACCCAAATCCTAAAAAAATAAAAAAAGAAAAAAGAAAATAAAAATAAAAAAAAAAAGTGAAATTGTTCACTACAGATTATTAAGTAAACCATGCTTCCTTTGTTAAATGGGTAATCTGATACTGCCCACAAGAGCATACTGACCAGAGGCCAGTTTTTCTGGTGGAAAGCTTTCTTCTAGCCTGTGGTACAACCATTAACATGGCATACCCACTTTAATCATATTGGATTACCAACAGTGTTTACAGGCAACACTCCCAGATAAACCTCAGGAATACAGCACAAACAGGAGATTCTGCAACAGCAAAAGTTTTGGTAGGGAAGCCTAGAAGACCCAGGGTGTGAACTACATAATTAGATGAGACACAAGCTTCTGGCTAATGTATCAATCGCCTCAGCACTATGTAGAGGCCAATATAGACAGCCATTGTCATTCTTAGGGACCACTAATGATGTAAGGTGATGTCAATGCCATTCAACTCTGCTATCAATTTGTGCTTTGCTGGTTATTAGCCCAGGCCTGTTCAAGAAGATCCTTCTGGCAGTAAGAGGAAGAAGGAGAAATACAGTTAGTAAGTCTGTCCTTGCTTCCAATCTATGTTATTTCTCAACTGTTTTGTCTTCATCTCACCCAAGACTGGCCACAAAAGCTGAAAACAGCTAATGTTTTAATAATTTTATGATCACAGAAAAAACTTACCAGTTTCAATCCTGTTATCAGCATCAGAAATGATTTTTGATGCAGCCCTCTCATCCATCACACAGTTTTTCATTGTCTTCTCCCTAGAGCTGCCACATAATTTATTTAACTAATAATTTAATACATTTAACACCCAAAAGGAGGTTTCTGAAATCACCAATAATTTAGAAAACCTGAATTCATAGTGATCAGATTTTTTTCAAATGCTCTAGAACCTATTCATTTAATTACATCTCACAAATATTTACCTTTATTGAGAGAAAGTATTTCCTGGGAATGATGGGAGAAAGGAGGACACTATCATTTGGCCTTTAAAGTATGAAAGCCAGAAAATTCAAAACTTCAGACACTATTTTCTTGACACAAACTGAAGTCTAAATGCTTAAGAGAATAAAGTGCTCTCTTATGAACTGAAAAACTCATTATTAGGACACAGAAAGGAAGATGTTGCTGCCAAGAATTATAATAGAAAGAACTGTAGCCATTGATAGTTAGAAAAACTGACAAGAAAGACCCTTGACTCATGTAGGGCCTTGGGAAGCACAATAAGTACAGGAAGCCTATGTGCCAGGCACTTTACACCCAGCATTTCATTGAAGCAAAAACTGACATACCTCCCTTAGTTATTATCTCCGTATACACATGAGGGAACTGGGAATCAGACCAGTTTAAAAAAAAACAAAAAACTTCCCCCATGTTGAAGAGCTTGTAAGATACTAGTGCTGATATTGGGTACATGAGTAACATTTTATCTTTGGGTTTGTCTTGGAAACCCTATGGGGCAGTTCTACTCTGCCCTACATGTTTGCTATGAGTCAGAATGGACTCCACAGCAACAGGGTTAGATTTTTTTTTTTTTTTTTGGCAATCAATATTTGCTAACTAGGAAGCCCTAGTAGCACAGTAGTTAAGCACTCAGCTGCTAACCGTGAGGTGGTTTGAACCCACCAGATCCTCCACAGGAGGCAGTCTGCTTCCCTAGAGATTACAACCTTGGAAACTCTATGGCACAGAGTTCTATAGGGTCTCTACGAGTTGGAAACGACTTGACGGCAACAAGTTTTTTTATATGGTAACTAAACAGATAAAAGATGAAACAGAAAAGATGAAAGTAGACAGTATGCATTTAAAATAGGAATTTGTTTATAAAATACATATACAAATAATTTTTCAGAAACGTTCAGTTTTTATCTATAGTTTAAAAAAAAGAAACATTTGTTCATAATCATCTAAAACAGAAAGTGACGAAAATATTCATCAACTGGTGAATAGTTAGGCAAATTGTGGCACATCCATACAGTAGGATACTACTCAGCAATAAAATGGAACAAACTGCTCATGCATGTAGCAACACAGACGACTCAGAAGTGTTATGCTAAATTAGGGGAGCCAGGCACGAAGCATTGCACACTGTATTATTCTATTTATATGACATTCTGGAAAAGGCAAAACTCTTAGGAAATTAGATCAGTGGTTGCCAGAAGCTGGGATTGAAGGGAGGGAACTAACTACAAAGAGTCCTGGGGGATTTTTTTTTTTTTTTTAAATTTTCTGTTTTAGGTGAAAGTTTCCACAACAAATTAGTTTCCCATTCAATAATTTATATACAAATTATTCCATGACATTGGTTACTGTTCTGGTTACCTAGTGCCACTCTGACAGAAATATACCACAAATGGCATGGCCTTAACAAACACGAGTTTATTCTTAAAATTTGGAGGCTTGAAGTCCAAGTTCAAAGTGCCAGGCTCTAGGGGCTGGGTGAAAGCCCCTCAGCCTTGGGCTTCAGCTCTGCCTCCAGCTCCCAGCCCACTGAAACTATAGGCTTTTCTTCACTCAGACAGCTGCTGGCTACTGAGGCTGCCAAGCCCAAGATTGACAAGTAAAAAGGCACAGAACCAATGTTACCAAACCACACAGCAGGCCATCAGCTTAAGTCCATTGGTCCCAAGGTCGGCAGAGCACAGCAGGCTGCTGAGCAATGACATGGCTACATGCAGGGTCCAAGCGTGCCATAGGCTAGAGACTATTCCCAAGGCTTCTGCTTAAATACAGGAAGCAGACCACATTCCCTAAGGCAGCTACTCACAGTAGATTCCATCATGGAGTTGATAACCGGTCTCGTCATAGGGAATACTACATCCAGCTGCCCAGCCACTCAACCAGGCCCAGCCAAGTTGACACACAGACTGAACAACCACGGTTGCTATCCTCACAATTCATCAGCATTCTCCCATTTCCTTCCCTCCGATTTTCTTGTGCCTCCTTGCCTTCTCACCTTTGCTTTTGGGCAAATGCTGCCCCATTTGATCTTATGTAGTCAATTGTTCTAAGAAACACATCGTTACAGTGTTATTTATTTCTTAGGCCAATCTATTACTTGGCTGAATGGTGGCTTCTGGGAGTAGCTTCAGCTACAGGTTAAATGGGTGTCTTAGGGCCATAGTCTTGGGGTTTCTCTAGTCTATATTAGTAGAGTAAGTCTTTTTTTTTTTCCTCTTTTTTTTTATATGAATTTGAATTTTGTTCTTCATTTTTCTCCCATTCTAACTAGGGCCTTCTACCGTGTCCCTGGTCAGAAAGTTATAGTGGTAGCCAGGTACCATCTAGTTCTGATCTCTGGGATCTGTGTAGGCCATTAGTGGACTGTGAGGGAACTTCTTGGGGTAATTAGGATATTCTGTATCTTGACTGAAAATTCACTTGCAAAAACTCACAGAACTGCACATCTTAAAAGGGTGAATTTTGCTCTATGTAAATTAATCTCAATAAGCCAAAAACCCACTGCCAATGAGTCAATCACAACTCACAGCAAACTCTGTAGGACAGAGTGAACTGTCCCTAGTATTTCCAAGGCTGTAAATCTTTATGGAAGCAGACTGCTACATCTTTCTCCTATGGAGTGGCTGGTGGGTTAGAACCATGGACCTTTTATTTAGCAGCTAAGCACTTTAACCATTGTGCCATCAGGGTTCAACCTCAATAAACCTGACTTTTAAAAAAATAAGGAATTAAGAATGCTCTCTGAGGGCTACACTGAAAACACATAATGCAGAGATGAGCAATGTCACTGGACAAGAGAAGGATCCCAGGCCAACAGGCATTGACTTCATTCATTCATTCATTCATTAAATTATTTCTTATACCCTTCTATGTGTGCCAGGCACTATACTAGGTACTAGGGATACTGCAAGGAGCTCTGGTAGCATAGTACCTAAGGCACTTGACTGCTAACCAGAAGGCTGGCAGTTCAAACCCACCAGCCACTCCTTGGAAGGAAGATGGGGCAATCTACTTCTGTGGTGATACTACCTCAGAAACCCAAGGAGGCGTCGCTATGAGTCGGGTCTGACGTGACAGCACGTAACAACAACAACAAGGATACTGCAATAAACAAGTAGACAAAGACCTTGCTCTCATGGAACTTATAGTTTGTGGGGAAGGGAAAGCAATAAACAAGTAAACAACGGGAAAGCAATAAACAAGTAAACAACTCATTCTGGAGAAAAGTAATGTGGGGATATATTCATGATACCTTGCTGATTTAAAAATGGTATATACAGAAAGCAAATTACTGTAAAATAAATATTTACATATATGAGTTTATATAATATATACATATATGTATACACAAACATACACACACATCCCTAAGACTAAAAGGATATTTACCATAATATAATGAATGTTTATATCTGGGAGATAGGATTATTTTATTGTGTTTTGGATGAAAACATGTATTACTTTGTCATAAGAAAAAAAATACTAATGATACATCTACATGAGTCTACAGGTATGTGGATGGCTGGAAGACAGTATACCAAACAATAGTAGGTGGCAGGATAGATGTGGGGAGGTTTTGACTTTCTTCACTATGTTTTTCAGCATTATTTAAATAGTTTGTAATAGACTTATCTATTTTTAAAAAATAAAGCTATTTACATGAATAGGAAGATTGAACATTGTGAAAATGTCAATTTTACCTGAAGCAATCTATACATTCAATGCAATCCCAATCCAGATCCTATCAACATTCTTTTAAGATATGGAAAAATCAATCACTAACTTCATATGGAAAGCAAAGAGACCGCGGATAAGCAAAGCACTATTAAAGAAGAACAAAATGGGAGGTCTCACACTTCCAGATCTCAAAACCTACTATACAGCCACAGTAATCAAAACTCCCTGGTATTGGTACAACAACAGACACATAGACCAATGGAATAGAATTGAGAACCCAGAAATAAATTCATCAACTATGGTCAGCTGATCTTTGACAATGGGTTGAAATCCATTAAATGGGGAAGAGATTGTCTGTTTAACAAATGGTGCTGGTAAAACTGGATATCCATTAGCAGAAAAATGAAACAGGACGTGTACCTCACACCATACACAAAAACTAACTCCAGATGGAGCAAAGACTTAAATGCAAAACCTAAAATTATAAAGTTCCTCAAGGTAAAAGTACAGGCAAATTTGGCGGTCCTAATATATGGCCTCGGAAACCCAAGGAGGGGTCGCTATGAGTCAGGTTTGACTCGACGGCACATAACAACAACAACAACAACAACATATGGCATAAATAGACTATGAAGAATAACCCAAAATGCACAAATAGCAGAAGAAAACTAGATGAATGCGATCTTCTAAAAATTAAATTTTTATGTGCTTTCAAAGACTTCTCCAAAAGAGTAAAAGAGAGAACCTACAGACTGGGAAAAAATATTTGGCAATGACATATCTCATAAGGGACTTTTCTCTAAAATTTATAGAAAACTCCAGCAACAATAAAAAGACAATCCAGTTTTAAAATGGGCAGAAGACATGAATAGACACTTCACCAAAGAGGATATTCAGGTGACCAAGAAACACATGAAGAAATGTTCACAATCATTAGCCATTAGAGAGAGGTGAATCAAAACAAGATACCATCTGGCTCCAGCACTAGTAGCAAAGTTCAACAAGACAGAAAATAACAAATGCTGGTGAAGATGTGGAGAGACTGGGACTCTCAAACACTGCTGGTGGGACTGTAAAATGGTACAACCACTGTGGAAAGCAGTATGGCGATTCCTTAAAAAGTTGGAATTAGTAATACCATTTGACCTAGCAATTCCATTACTAGGTATATATCCTAAAGAAGTGAGAGTCAGGACCAGAACAAACATATGCACACCATGTTCATTGCAGCACTACTTAGGCTATCAAAAAGATGGAAACAACCTAGGTGCTCATCAACAGAGGAATGGATAACCAAACTATGGTACATACACACAATGGAATACTATGCAACCCTAAAGAATAATGTAGAATCTGCAAAAACACTGCATAACATAGATGAAGTTGGAGGACATTATCCTGAGTAAAATAAGTCAATCACAGAAGGACAAATATAGTATTAGTCCATTATTGTAAAAAGTCAATGAACGGTTTATATATGGAAGAAAATTTTCTTTATTGGTTATCAGGGGTGAGAGAGGAGGAGAGGGAACACTACTAGATAGGTAGAGACAAGTATTGATTTGGGTGAAGCAATGTACCAAATGTGAGTGGTCAGCATGGTGGCACTGAGGAAGAGGAAAACATAGAGAAGTGCACAGGAGGTACAGACAACAAAAATGAAACCTTTTGCACATACAGTACTGTGTTGTCAGTGATGGCAAACATTGATCTACAAGTGGATAGATGGGTGGACAGGCTAACGGTTAGGTATGTCTATGCAGGGGGGAGTGGCCCAAGAGCATGTATAGGGTTGGCAGACAATGTTTCTCCAAGTGTATTTGGATGTTCTGTAAGAATTTCTAGGTGTATAGTAGAGCTGACAAGGTACGCGTTTGTAGTCACTTTTTGGTCACAGTCAGCTACCCAGAGGGAGTGAGTATCTGGACCTGTGGGCCTGTGGTTGCAGGGGACATCAAGCTCAATTGGCACAACATCCTACACAAAAACATTGTTCCACATCCTACTTTGGCAAGTAGCAACTGGGATCTTAAAAGCTTGCAAGCAGCCATCTAGATACAATGATGGGTCTCTCCTTGTCCAGAGCAAAGAAGAATGAAGAAAACCAAAGACACATGGAAATAATTAGTCCAAGGGACTGGTACACCATGCAGTCCTCAGCCT